GGCGGACGCGGAAGGGGAAAGAAGTGGTTAATAGGCCTGAGGAGGGGGGGTTGTATGACACGTCAGCTCAGGCCGAGTGCCACGCACGGGTACACTGAGGTGAAGTTTATCTGCGGAGGAGTGTGCCATCACACATACGATCAGCGGTATGTCGCGCGCAAGTCGGGGCACACGTGTAGGGTGGCGGGTGTTATTTGCGGGAATTTTGCGGGAATTTTACCGCCGCATTCCGCGGCCTTCTTCGCTACATCCGCCGCCTTGTTTCCCATCACGGGTAAGGCCCCAAGACTATCCCGAAACGCCTCAACCGTCGTCAGAAACACATCTCCCCCTATCTCCTACGACCTCCATATCTGCACCCCATGTCCTGCTCAATACAACCCACCTCCGAAAGTCCAACCGGCAAATAATTGTCCCTGCGACAAACTCCTTCCTTCCCCTGCTCGTTCCCAGCCGCCCCGATCGCTGCTTTCAATGCAATCCCACTTATGCAACCCCAGTTATGCAACCCCAATTATGCAATTATGCGAAGCAACTCCTCGCCGCCTCCCCCAGCCCCCCCATCCCACCCCCGCATTCCAATCACCGCCCTACATTCTGTCCCATGTGTCTTTTCATCTTTTGCAGATGTGAAGAACATGCGGGGGCAGTACGCCACGTGCAGCAGAACAATTTCCGCACGCACTCCAGTGCCTCGCACCTGTCATGTCTCATGTCTCGACATCATGCCGCGTTTCCTGTCCTGTACACCAGCACATCCCACGCCCCCTCGCTGCCCCCGATATTTCCTCCCCTTCGACAATGCTCAATCGCAACCCGAAATTCCCTGTTTCTAGAGCGTCGATCAATTCGCCTCGCGACATGGCACACATTGTAAGCACAGCAACGCCCCGCCCATGCGCCCATTTTGCATCTGTCAACGCTGGCGTCAACTTTGCTCATGTCGCCCCCGTTACGCTCCTCATGAGGTCCTCCCCATGCCTCACCACGTGCGTCATTGGAGCACACAGTCACCAGATCAGTCCCAAATATCTGTTCAGATATTACATCCAATTCTCTGTCTGTCCTGTTGCTTCCCCCTCATGTGGATTGAGCCGCGAAAACTAGTCTCCCCATTCCCTCCCTTCGCCACCCACCGCATTCAGTTGCCCCTGTTGGAACCTCCCCTTCATGCCCTGCACATTTCCCTGGAGTCGCACTCACGTCTAAAGATACACCCAACAGAGCGGAGGCGCTTCTCGAGTTCCGTTTTAAATTTTGCGAAACACTATTGTCCTGCTTTCATTGTCCTTGCTGCCGGTGCCGTTTCGAGTCAGTCATTCTACGCTTTTTAATCCTTCTTACACAGACAATGATTGCTTTCCGCCTCCTTCCAGCTGTTACCTTTCAGCTTCTGTGTGTCTCCATCGACGTAATTCCCGCATGCTTCACTCACTTGCCCCCCGCTTACTCTCTCTTTACACTGCTGCTGCTGTGAGCCCAACATGCCATAGAGGCCCAGTCCACAGCCCGTTCCAAACAGTGCAACCTCGTTTTTGCATCTCAGCAAATCCAATGCCCGGCACGCACACCAAATTTTTCCATGGCCCTCATCGTACTCAGTTCATCGAGCGCAGTTATGCCCCGACAAACACATCGCCTTTGTCTTTCTGCCATCTCATATCGTTCCCGACCACATCACTCTGCTCCTTGCGTTTCTGCATACCTCATCCACTTTACACAGAGGGTCTATCTCTCATGAGAAGAGCACCTCTGCAGCATCCCACTGATAGGTAGTCTCTGCCGGTTGTCCCCGTCTCTCGCCAGGCATTACTTTTTTTCGTTGCATTTCCGTGCACTTCACGAAAGCCCGCACTTCCATGGAACCGTTTTTCGCTGGAACATGTCAGTTTAGTAGACTCCACCGCACTACCCTACACGCACATTTCCCCTTTTTTCTGTTTGTGTTTGTTTAGGAAGCATATTCAACTTCCACGCCGTTGACAATGTCCGACTTGTCGGCCTCCAAGTTTAGCCTCATTCACAACTGTCATGCCGTACTTTTTCATTCGTGAGTGCGCGTATCTGCAGGGTATCTGCAGCCTTGCGCTTCGCCGGGGGCATATGCACAGAAGTAGGGCTTAATGTTAGTGCCAAACCGTCAAAGTACGTTTTCTTTCTTGTCATTCTCTGAAAACAGACTGCGTGCGTAGAAAGTAGTCAATGTCCTTAACCTACCAAAGGAATAGAAATCGCAGTTTAAAACTTGGAATATGAACCAAAGCGACAGGCGCGCGAGCGACACCTCCATCTATAACCTAGTCGGTACAGTACAATAAAAACAGTATAAACATACCTTGTTTTTGTGGCTACATCCCGTTATCCGGGTTCCATAATATCTTTTTCGTCTTATCAGCGGCTTTGTAAATGACAATCTCTAACAGGAGATTTCATGATCTGTGCTCGTCACTACCGGTATAGGTGCTACACGGACCTGAGTGTATCATCGCTCCAATTTCCTGCCAGAACAGGAACACTTCTTGACTTTTGTTTTGTGGTCAGCCACTGAAATTGATACATGAGAATAGAACGGGTGTTCCTGAAGTTGCACTGACCCAGATGAGAAGCCTAAGCATTTAGAATAAACGTCTGTTCATTGCTTATCCATTTATTTTTATAGGACATTCATTTCTCTATATCTGCTTCTTGTCTACATGAAACATGATATGTCTTGTGTAGTGAAAAATCATAACGTACTACTTTTTTTATGAATGAAAGAAAATCAGTGCACCCGTCACTGTATTGTAATGCCCAACCGAGCTGAACCGACATGACGGGGATTATGGATCTGTTCCTATACAAAGACGGAGGCCACCAACGAGATCATGGAAGCAGTGCCATAACTGCAAGGTGTTCAACACCATCGCCAGATGCATTTGCAGGTGCGAGAGTGTAATAGTGAGAGGTAGAATAGTTTCCACATATTCCGCTCCCACCATTATTGCCGCAACCAAATTTGGACGGATTTTTTCCCTTCGACCTTGGCGTCGGATGTCTGACATAACAAAACGTCTACTCTCAGAGGCGGTAGTGAGGAAAGCATACACTGCGTACTCATTTCTGCCTTTTGCAACAAAGCACCCTAGAACATATACTTGCGCTGCAAACCGCAACACAAAAGGCGAAAACATCAGAAATTTGATTCAAGGGATGAGGGGGGGGTGCTTGAATGGGTATGTCCGAATCAACACGCTGGTCTGTGCAATTTACACAGCCCTTATACATGTCATGTAATGCAGAGGATGCAAGCGCCATACCATACGTCGAATGATTTCACATGAGCAAGGAGCTCTGGGTTCCAGAACGCAAGGGCCATTCATGACGCTTATGGAAGGAAGGGGTTTCATTCACGGGCACGTGCCTCCTGGATCCCGTTCTAAAGGTTTTTCAGCCATGGCTTCGATGCGAATTCAAGCCCACAAGGCGACCATAAAACGTAGAAGATTCTCGTCCTGAGAACGATTGGACTGGCGTTCGAAGCTTTGTGAATGCTTCCAAACCCGAATTAATAGTGCTCTACGAACCTACGCGTGGCAGCAAAATAGCATGCTAAATACCGCCAACTGAGCGATTTCTGTGTTCACCAAAGGCAAAGGTTCAATATCTTGCATGTAGTATTCATTGCAGGCCCGTCGCCTGTAATACAGTATTTGCACCCGCAGAAAGTTCTGTGTTTGATCTGCACACTAAACTTGCTTCGTCAACATTGAGAAAAAATGACAATTTCTTCGTCGCGCGAGGGCCTACGAGTACTTCGCTCGGTTTCCGTGGTCGCTCCCTTGTCCGTAGCCCTATCAATGCGTACATTTGCATTTTGTGTGCCGCAATCCTCCCTGGCACAAAGATGAATATCTCCTCAGGAAGCTCAATTGAGCTGGCGTGAATGCCGTATGGGATATGCGATGCCAAAAAACAATGCTGCTTAGAGTATTGAAGTAAAAATTTATTTTCCATACACGCGGAAGGCCTTTCCAAACGAGGTGTCAAAGGAATCTTTTCGTGGCCACGAACAGATTCCTTCGAAGTCTTTCTTGTTGAAAAAGCGAGTAGCTAATCACGTTTTAAGATACTGAGCAATGACGATCCAAATAACTCAATGGGCTCCCTGGAGAGATTGCGTTTCGCCTTGATACGTGAAAGCACAGCATTAGACTGTACAGTTTGTTGCACAAGGGTCGCGTTTATTTTCCGGACAACCTCGAACCTTGCAAATAGAGTTTTGATGTCTCATGGTGCATTCGTGAGAGCATTGTTCGTGTTTGCAGCTGTGATCATCTGAAGATAGTAAGCTCTATTACAATGGGGGCCGAAAGAGGCCTCTCAAATTTCGTTTGTTCGATATCGTGTGTACCACCCGGTGATTCCGAGAGAGGCGCTGGCGAGGACGAGCGGGTACAATATGTGCAATAGTTCAAATGCGCGTGAACATTGCGCTGGGAATGACCCTTGAGTTTGATGTTCAAGCGAATGAGGGAATGGTTACTTTGAAGATTTATTCGGGAGAAGCTGATGAGATAAAGGACGCAATGCCCGCAGTGCTGTACCTCTAGAGTTAGCGTATTGTGCCTGATGATGGAGGAGCCGAGCACCTGGACGCAAAGGCGAAACGGACGAGACGTTTAAAACGACGGACAAAAGAACTGTATGGGAAAGGGAAACTCTCTGATTTCGTCGACGGCTCAAAAAAACCTGCAGCCTTCATTTCAGAGTGAGTGCAAATCTTCTGACAGCCTCCTACCGCAGCCTCAAATCAACAAAAGTAATGCTCGCAAGCTTCACAGCGCTCCACACCATTCCAATACAGACCCTTAGCCCCGTTCTTGCGTCGAGCGGAAGCAACCTCCTGCGTCAGCTGGTGCGCCAGCGCTCGCGACCTCGCCGACCCAGAACACCGACGCCGATGGGTGCGTCATGGAGCTCATTCGCCGGCGGTGCTAACACCAACCCTGTGCTCGACACAGCGCTTCACTCGGCGGCGCTCGGCAAGTTTGTCGACCCGCTCGACCTCTCTATCACGGTCGACCGTAAGCAACTGTACAAGAGGGCCACGGCCGGCGCCAAGCACGAATGGGACGTGGAACTGGAAGTGGACGTGGCGCATCTGCAATCGCGGCACGCATTGCTACGCGTGGACGCGAACATGGACGAAGAGAAGCATCACTTGCACATACCCTGTTCGGCGTTGACGGCGGTGATGGAAGGGGCTGGCGTAACGGTGGATACGATCTGCAACATCTGCGCGATTCACGCCCAATTGCGTCAAAAAGGCGTCACAGAGCAGGGTAACGTGCTTGCAGAGGTGGCCATCGTACTAGACGTGTCCCGCGACGGATACGATTCGCGTGCGGATGTCCACGAGCTCACGCGCAGAGTGTACGGTATAACTGACGCCTCGCGCGACGCAAAGTAGTTTACCGGGGTTGGCGTCCAACACCAATGTGCAGTCTCATCGTTTATTCTTGTTCGGCCGGCCGGTGACATAGCATGTCGCGTCCCGTTGCTTAACTGAGCCGGACATCTTACAATCGACAAAACATTCGCCGCTAATGGCAGGGTCGTCTTCCAACGGCAATGGGGCCACACCAAAGGTCATCTGGCAGCTCTTATCCTCGTAGTCCGGGGTCATCCTAACTGGCAAGCCGAGGACGTCTGTAAAATAGTTTTGCGTCGGCTGCTGGCACATATTGACGCACAGTCCCTTGCAGCCCGACTCATCCAAGAAGCGACACTTATCAATCTTGACGCCCCACCCGCCCTCGGGAGGCCGGTTGGTCTCGCACGGGCCGACGAGCCACTGGAAGACGGCCGGGGTGATGCGCGCGTTGAGCTGCGGGTGTGCAAACGCGGTTTTGAAAGCGGTGGAGCCGTACGGGGCGACGAAGAGCATGTCGAGTGTTTTGCGGACGACGCGCTGCTGCTCGGCCGGGCCTACGCGCGCCATGAGCATGCGGCATTCCTCGACGAATCCCGAATAGCCTGCCCGCGGGCTCGTCCAGCCGACGTAAGGGCGCATGGCGCGGCGGAAGAGGGCAATGGTGGCCAGGGCCAAGCGCCCGTCGTTGTAGGTGGTGGCGGTGGGGGCGGACACATTGGGGCGGGACTTGGGTTTCGTGGGTGGGGCCTGCGTGCAGAGGGGGGTGAAGGGCCGGTGGAGAGAGCGCGTGGAGCGGGCGCGGCCCGTGAGCGGCGGTGGGGCTGCGAAGCCGAGCATGGCGCGGAGTTGCTGTAGAAGGTGGGTTGGGGTTGGGCACGCGGGCCCGCTGGTCGATGGACTAGTCTTTTAAGTCGGTGAGCCGAAGGCCTTGAGTCGAATGAATTGTGGAGTTGGTGAAGAGAGAAAGAGTACCGCAACTTGCGATGATGACGTTCTCGGCGTTTTGCGCTCACCCTAAGGGTCCAAACGAGAGGTTCGCATCACAGCCAATCACTGCCCCCCGCCAGGCTCAACGTACTGAGCACATCCAATCAGCATGCGCCCCTTGTGCCACAGCATCTCATGATCTCATCTCTCCATCCACACCTCCATTCCCTCGCCGTCGTCCTCCATCAGCATCAGCAACGGAATGTCCCTCTCAGCGTTTGCAGCCCCACCGTTCCCCACCCTCCGCAAGCGGCCCCGCACGCCCCCCCACGCTTGCACCAGCCCCACTACCTCACATGTCGTCACCGTGGACGGGGCGTCGCTCCTGCGTCGGGTCACCACGCCCCCCGCCGCCAGCCGCACCGCCGTCCTCCTGCACGACTTCATGACCGACCACCGTATCTTCACTGACCTCACCACCGCGCTTCAGTCGCTTGCCCCCGACCATCGGACAGTCGCGTACGACATGCGCGGCTTCGGCAAGTCCGACAACCCCACGGAGGCCCTCTACTCCGCCCTCGACGACTTGCAGTGCGTGGCCGGCCCCGTCTCGCACCCGCTCGACTTGGTGGCTGTCGGCTTCGGCGGCCCTATTGCTCTGGAGTACGCGCTCGCGCGCGCGGCCAATGTCCGCTCCGTGTGTTGCATCGGCAGCGGGCTCCCGGGGCACCGCTGGGCGCCGCAAGCGATGCTCGACATCACGGAAGCACGCGACTCGGCCCTCAGACAGACCCTCATGAACAAGCTCGACCGGAGAGATGCTGCGCCGAGTGGGGAACTAGTGAAGTGGAAGCATGCCTTCATCAAGGCCAGCGTCGCGTGGACGCAGGTAATTGACGGGGGGGATCCCGACGTGGCGAGGACCTTGTTGGAGATGGCCAGGGATTATGGAGGCTTCCGTTTCTTCAGGGAGGAAAAAGTCGAGCCCAATGCGTTTGGGGGGATGCCGTTGGCGAAGAGGCTGGGCGGCGTGGATGCGCCGGTTTTGGTCATGGTAGGGGAGGGGGATACGCGGGATTTTCATCAGATTGCAGGAGAGATTTGGGACGGGGTGGCTAATGGTTGGGCGGAGGGGGTCGTCGCTGTGCCAGAGTGCGGCCATTTTGCGGTTGTCGAGCAGTATCAGGCGGTTGCAGAACAAATTACAGCGTTTTGGGCGGCACAGGAAGGTGCAGTGCAGACGGATGGGGTTGAAGGTGGGCTTCGGAAAAGTCCCATGTGAGATCAACAAATACTGCTAACAAACTCCGAATGCGACTGAGCGCGGTGCTCCTTTACGTGATGTAGAGTTCGTTGAATAGTATTCACCTTCATTAACAGATCGCAAGACTACGTGATCCTAGCGGCAACATAGGAAGAACAGCAAAGAACTTTCTTACTCTTAAGATTTCGTGTATGCGAGTCGAGACGTTTCAGACAAGGACAATATCAAAGTCAGTGAGCGGACAGATATTTATACGGCAAAGGCCTTTGCCAGTGCACGGCTCTAGTACTTTGCGAAAATATCTGCGGTGCGAACAAGCATATAGGTTTCCCCATCGAACTCGACCTCAGTGCCGGCGTACTTGCCATACAGGACAATTTCGCCAACTGCGAACGCCGCCGGCTCTGTCTCCCCATTCTCCATGAATCTTCCTTCGCCAAGAGCGACAACCGTGCCGGAGGTAGCCTTCTCCGCGGTGTTCCTGGCCATAATGATACCGCCGCCCGTCTCCTCCTTAGCTTGATCAACCTTGATGAGCATGCGGTCAAAAATCGGAACGACGGCCGACGGCTTGTACTCGCCACCGCTCAACTTGCACAAAATGTCGTCTTGCGTGACAACGGTATGCTTCTCACCGTCGTAGTCAACGTCTGTGCCTCCATACTTTCCGTACAGAACGAAGTCACCCTTGTTGACGGCCATGGGAATCTTGACGCCGTTGCCAAAGTGTCTACCGGGGCCGACCTCGACGGCCTCGCCGTATGTAGGCTTTTCCTTGGCTGTGCTCGAGAGAATAAGGCCGCCTGTGGTAGTGGCCTGGGCTTCGGCGACCTTGACCAAGATGTTCTGGCCGGCGGGCTGCACGGGACCTGGAAGGGTCTTCCCATTGAGTGTATGGGTGGCGGTGGCGGCTGTCATGCGCGGCATACGCGGGCAGATGGAGGGGCGAACACTCACGCCTCGCAACGGCAGTGAGGCCGGGGTCGCAAAAGCAAAGTTGCGTGGATTCATTTCGGATGGGCGTGTTGAGGGAAGATGAGTGGGAACTGTTGGTGTTAGAAGGGGAGTTGGATCTGACTAGGGTGCATGCGATCAAATGCGGACGTTCGGGCGCTGCAGGCAATCTCCGGTTTTTCAGCAGCCTGCTCAACGATCAATCTCGAAGACGACGAAGCGGAATCTTGAAAATAATCTGAAAAATCGATTTTTTGTTCCTGCTCCCAAACCCACCGTGATCTTCTGTAGTAACCCGACGGCTACCACCCGAGCCACATACGCTTACAGTACTGTATGTACTGAACAGTACCCTTCGGAAGGGTAGGGTACATCAAGGCGGATCACGTGCAGAAATGACAGACATCTACTGTACAGAGCTACAGAGAGTATCTCCTCAATAGTGCATTGTGAGTAGTGCAAACCGCCAATAGTGCAGGTCAAAACCGCTTGTCACGACTTTTGACACGTGTATGCATCTTAGAAAAGCAAGGCGTGCATTGCTGCAAGCGTATCACGCTCAATAGAGAACAAAAGTTCGACAATCAAGTTGCGACGGTTTTTTTTAAAAAAAAAATAAAACCACGTTGTAAAAGTGATTTGCGAGATCCTCCCCTTGAGTATTGCAATACGCCAATAGTGCAGTATTCTATCGCGTGGCACGGCACTGCACTATTGAGCGGTATGGACTGTAGTAAATTTCGCCTTATGAAATAACCAGCCAATGAAACACCCCGATGCGTTTCTCTCTCAAAACCAAAACAGTTCATCCAAACAGAGCCAGAAGTGGGCACAGCAATAAGGCACATATCATGAATACTGTACTTCTCCGCATTTGTTGCACATTTCAACACAGCCTGAGATGCCCTGTTGATGTCAACATGTTGATGTCAACAGGGCATCTCAGGCTGTGTTGAAATGTAAATTGAGTCTGCGGCCATCTCAGTTTCTGATGTCAGAGACTTCTGACAGAGACTTCTGACATCCGACTACCTCACATGATCTGGAACGCACTGAGATGGTATCTGCAGATGCAAAGTAGTATAAATTAGGTCTCGTGCAGCAACTCTAAGAAATAAAAACACACATCTTCAACAATGGCCACAGACTCTATTTACGGGCCACACTCTTCGAAGTGGTCTACTGCACTGGCTCGGAGTTCGGAAAGCAAAAGACGCATGCTGGGAAATGGTGCATTGTCTGCAAAGGCCGACGACATGGTTTGCCACAGAAGGGCAGACTTATACCTAGGTTCCTTACAAAGCAAATTGCATGCTATTTCATGACTTCTCCGGGATACAATAAAGTGGTACCTATGTTTTCACAATTCAACTAAAAACGTAGAAGACAAACGCATAAATGCCACTTCATGCACGTGTACCAACACGAGCCGGTTTCTTTAGCGTTTTTTTTTTTTTTTTTTTCAAAAGTCCGATACGCCAAAAAGGCCCTGCTAGATCACTATTGTACTTGTTTAGCTCTCGTTCTGATTGAAAGAACATTTGTTAAGCTCTTTGAGCAAAAGTCCACCTCGAAGGCTTGCCATGTGACCATTTTTCAATTAGCATTGTCTAGCGGGTTTCATTTTCCTTGATCTCATGGTGCACTACTGCATGTAGCTCTCCAAAGCAGGATTTTGGGTCGCAATACGAACTTGAAGATACAAAAACAGGCTCACTTGCACTGCTCCGCGAGACTTCGCTGCTACACCTCTACTGTACCCTCTATTAGGGAGTACCCTTGGTCCTGTACAGAGACCTCCCACAGCACGCAATAGGGATTCCCTAATGTCACATACTGTACGAGGAGGTCTCAGTAGAGCTGTACTGTACGAAGGGACTCTACTGTGCAGAGAAGGGTTTCTCAACGGGACCGCACAGCCTTAGTGCTGTCTCCTTCTGCGTACCTTCATTGACGAGAATAATGAACTGAGCCAACATCGCACTACATCGCACTACATCGCACTACATTCATCTTTTCGTCCTGGCAATTGTTCCCTTCCGATCATGTGCTTCCTTTATCCGCCCATAACGAAGAATTAGTATACGAAAATAGGCTACTAGCCAACAAGCCCTCTTCCTTGAGAATTCTTGTCCCTGTTTACCAATAGATTCCTCATTTCCGTGACCTCTTTTCGATATCCGAGCTCATCAATATCTAAGCTTAATTGCCCAGCCAAATGATCGAAGGTGTCCAGCGATCTGAAGTACGTCAGCAGCTTTTCTGATGTACCCTCCGTCCGATTTCTCGGGCCGAGCATATAGTTGCTGAACGAAACGTTCACCTTGTCTTTACGTCCCCATCCATCATCTAAGAATTTCCGCGGCACATGATCGTATATAAAAGTGATAACTGAAACTGGTTCCTCGAACTTCAACAATCGGAAGTATTTGTGGATGCCATATTCCACACCGCACAGCTTCGACTGCGGCATCCAATGCGGATTCATCTCGATGCGGCCCTCTTGCGTTAGTCGTCCGTCCGAGAACTCCTGTCGGATCCAGTCCTCAAAATGTGTCACGGTTCGCTTCTCAATAGGAAGTCTGTTGTGAACCATATTCAAGTACCCTGAAAGTGTTCTCGTGATAGGGTTTCGAGTAAGAATATATTTTGGCACCTCGTCATTTTCCAAAATGTCCTCTATTTGCTCCTCCCGGAGAGTACTAAGCGCCATCTCCAGCCTCCAAGTCAAGTTATGTATGGCATAAACGCGGTCAAAATCTTCATTTCCAGATATTCTGCGAAGGAGACTCCTGTGATAAGTGCACCCGTTCTTAGGAGGCACACAAGATACCACCCTCAAATCTGGAGTTTGCACAGCGTACATCATCTGGGCTGTCCAGACAGCAAAAGTTAAGTTGTAATCTCGGTGACTGAGCGGTCTACGCTCCTTCGATGGTTCCGGTTTAGTCGATGTCAAGCTTGCCTCTGACCATTTGTTGTCCGCTGCCACTGCTCCCCTCCCTGGCCATAATAGAGGAGGGTTCCCTTTCTTGTTCGGCTCTCCGTAGTGAGACATAAACGCATTCCAGAACGGCATCCAGATCATGCCCGATATGAACAGAACAATCAAGACAGTTTTCGATACTCTTTTTGTACGGCTCTGGAGACCCATGGCTTGGATCTTGGTGGGTGCCGCTTGCATATTTACGACAAAGGCAAAAGATGGTGCCAGAAGCTCTGATAGATTGCAAACGAGGTGGGAGAGGGCAAACAGGTAGTCTACATAGGAGTAGAGACGGTAGGGGGGCAGAGGGAGGCAGTGATGGGTTTTGTACCACTGTCAAGTCAAGAGAAGAAAAATTTGTGATGGACTGCGAGTTAGGAACGGCCCTGAGAAGTCGACATGTTATAAACCACTCATCTCGGAGCTACCTGGAATGTTTTTAAGTGAATTGAGAGTACTGAAGCTGTGCCAAGGGCGATCTGGCTGGAAACGTGCAAGTTCCCAACCGGAGCTATCCTGTCATGTGCCAGACGTGCACGGATAGATTTCCTGACGCATGACATGTCACAAACATATTCATGCAGCCTTTGATTTTGTCACTGTTTTTGTAACAGAGCATAAACAAATACAAGAACTGCCCGGATGCAGTATGCAGTTTTTTTTTTTTTTTTTCACGAGATTTGAAGCCTCACTGCAGCCATGTAGCTCATCTACTAGGATAAGGCCCGGTGGAGATGTTCTTTAATTGCAAGGTCCTTCAACAGCCCATTAATTCGAGGAGGGCACTGGAGCAATGAACTTGCTGAACATTAGGCATTGCTACAGAGGCTGCGACGACACCTATCAAACTACTTTTAAAAGCGAGTGCTTGACGCGTATCCGTAGCGAAAATATACAAAAAATGAAATGTGCACATTCTCGTTACGGAAGTTTCACGGCCAGGAGCTGCCCTCATCACAATTTATGATTTCATACACCGAAACAAATGCTAATATTAAACATGTCCCGTATTCCATCACCTATATCGGGAAACGGATTCCGTGATGGCTACGTACCTAAATATAAGCAGTTCTTTATACGTCTCACAATGACAAGCAAATCTCGACTATGCTGAAAGGCAGTTCCAAGACTTGGTCCAAGTGCTTTTTTGGTCTTCGAAGCAGCGCGACTGGCCACACGATGTTCAGTGTTCGCCATGACAAGAAAGCCGATGGACATGGCGTTCACGTCAAAAGATCCCTTGGAATGGAAACCTCCCCTTTTTGGGCACTAAGAAAGCAGGGCTAGGCTGTACCGAGAGCTTTTGCATTGCTCAAGGCTGCTACGAACGCTTACCATGTTCTTTCTGTCCAAAGCATGTGGACATGCATCTGTCCCCTTCAGACCTAGTTCGGTGTTGCATCACACAACTTCAGATGTGAGAGTAGTTAGACCCGAGTCGCCTGGAGCATTAAGGTCATACGCATGCCTTCTTTTGTGGGTTGCACCTCTGAACAGACAGTTTGGCTCGGAAAAACGAAGGGTAGGGCAGAGCTGCCATGTTGTCTGTGAATTGTAGGGTGGCCAGACTATTGTATGATCCTGAGAGAAAACGTGAGATCAGGACTACAGTATTTCCATTCCTTATTATTATATATATTATTAGACCTTTCATGCAAATACCTCTCGCACAGGGAATGAATTTGATACTTACAGTAAAAGTACTGTGCAATTGGAACTGATCAGGTATATCAGTATTCTCGAAATATTTGCTAGAATACATGGTCTTTTCAGTTCCAGGTGATCTGTTTTCGATTGACTTCCCCATAACCAGAGCTGTACTGTGTTACGAAAATCATTGGTCCAATTCAAAAAAGGGCGGTCTTTTACAATATACCTTGGTCTTCCGGTAAGATGTCAGCATCGCAAGCCCGTAAAGCACCCTGCCAAACTGCAACCACATCAACCCACTCTTTCTCCCTTCCATCACTCCTTCCCTTTTTTACCAGAGCCTGAAAATGGCATCTGCAACCTCTGCGCAAGGTGCAAGAGCTTTGCTCTTGCTCTCCGATGCCGCCGTCGAGCGTCGTGCAGACTTGCAGGAGTTTGCATCCGACTCTGACGCGATTGATACGGACGAGGAGGTGCAGAGCGAGTCCCCAATTTATGATCAATTTTACGAAAATAGGGGAGCAAGCGCTATCATTCAGATGACCAATTTTAGCCTTACAGAGTTCTATGCCACTTGGTGCGTTCTGGAAAAGGCAATCAAGGAGAGGTACAATGCGGGGGCGGGACACAAATGTTCACATACTCCTTGGGATGTCTTTTTTATGACACTTGCCGTGCTAAAGCACGGAGGTCAATGGGACTTCTTGGCCAAGATGTTCAGTTTAAAAGTTCCCACGTTCGAGCGTATGATTATGAAATTTATAGATATTATCTCGTATCCAGTGTTTGAACACTATGTGGAGTATTAAAATAAGAAGTAGAAAATGGAACTCATGAGCAGCAAGAACATTGGATTTAAAAACTACCCTATTGCACGCTATGCCACAGATGTGTTATGTGAGATTCCAGCAAAGTTTTCGCCCTAGTGGCAGCCTAGAAGAAGGAAAACTGTACTTTAGTGGCAAGCAAAAAAATTTATGGGTACAAAACTGAAGTTTCGGTACTTCCGAATGGCCTCGCGCTTGGCTGCAGCGCTCACAAGCCCAGGTCGGTGTCGGATTTACAAATATTGGAGGTGATGCTCCCTTTTCATGCGAAACAACTTCGCAAAAGAGAAGGTGAAACTGACATCGACGATGATGGGCATTTGTCGGATGAGTACCCCAATTACTGGGCTGTACTGTGTGATAAAGGGTACTATGGGGCGAAGGAGTTCTGTCTTGTGATCCATCCAACGAAAAAGCCCATTAATAGAACACTAACACAAGCTGAGGTTTCAAATAACGGGCACATCTCAAGTGATAGAATTATAGTGGAAAATTTTTTTGGACGGCTTTGTGGGCTGCGGAATGTCATGGCGGCGAAGTGGAAATGGAGCGAGGCTGGATACGATAGTATATTCCGTTTTTGTGTGGGACTGACGACCTATCATTTGCACAAGCATCCTCTACGTGCTGAGGACTCTACAGTTTTAAAGCAATGAAGAACCGACATTATCATATCGCAACTACTCAGATTCAGAAACGCCGTCAATTGCAGAGGAGGTATCGCGAGAAACGTCGTCGCAGAGTTGAAATGCAGTTCAGATCCATCCACAACACAGACGAGTCCGACTAACACTCGTCGTGTTGCCAGACCCGGACGGTACGCTGAACAACGTCTTTCTCTGTATCGTTGCATCTCTGGGAAATGTTTCCGGATGCCCTCGTCATAAAAAATAGTGATCACCCGAACCGCATGCACTTTCGCACTTCACATGCCCCGGGATCCCCGTTGCGACGCGGACCTTAAGGTCCGCGTACCGCTGCCGCGGTGCCGTCTAGAACGGCCCCACATACCGCGCCGACCCACAGTGCTCCGGCAAGTGTGCTCGACGCCCTGCTCGACGTCCTGCTCGCCGACCACCGCTGCCCCGCCCTGTCCGTGCGCCTCAAGAACCTCGCGTGCTACGTCCTGGCCCACAGCGCGAAGAACCCCACCCTCACCGCACATTCGGCCTACCTGGCAAACCGCTTCGTCGCCACGGACACCCGGCTGGCCGCCTGCACCTACCGCCCGTTCCTGGCCGCGCTCAACGCCGCCTATCGCCGCCGCAGGGACCGCGAGGAGGAGGAGAATGCCTCCGACTCGTCCACGTCGTCCGCGTCCGCCAGCTCGCCGCCCTGCCCAGATCACTGCCGCCCAATATCCAAGGTCGACGCCGTGCGCAAGCGCATGCGCCTGCGAGCCCAGCTCGCAGACCAGCTCGGCACCGCCCCGCGCCCGGGCGAGGAGAAAAAGCTCCCCATCATTGCCGGCGTGCTGTCATCGTCGCCGAAGGTTAAGAGATCGCTGTCAAGACGCACCCTGTCCCGGTCGAGACGGAGGAGGAGGCTCGAAGAGAGCGCGGAGGAGAGCAGGTTGTACGTGGGCTTGGAGGACGGCGTGCTGGAGGATGAGGATGACTTTGTCGAGGAGCCGGCGACCATTTCCGACATATTGCCGACGGGGGAGACGCCGTATAAACTGGGGCTGCTAAAGTGTCAGCGCGGCGTCCCGGGCTTGGCGCTCGAGGATGGCGAGCAGGACGCGGTGATGGAGAGGCGCGCGTTGAGACCCATGTTCGGTGAGGCCGGTCATAGTGGGGGGATGCGGCGGGATGCCGAGTTGCCAGAGCAGCCGTGTAGCGTGAGGGGCTTGTTCCAGCAGACCGCCTACGATTTCGAGGGGACGGAGCCCAGCTTTTCGGACATGGGTGACAACCCAAAAGTGCTCGAGGTGCCCAGCTTGAACGCAATTGCAACTGTCGGCGATGATGAGTATGGCTTTGACGACGTGGACGAGGAGGACGAAGAAGAAGGCGACGAAGCAATATACAAGCAGCTTCAGAAACATGGTGATATGATCGACGCTGCCGAGGAGGAGCAGCGGTACTTTGACGAGCAGGGTGACCACTACGCATTCGACGAATCCGTGTTCACCGAGCGAGAAGTGGCCGTGCTGCTCCTCGCGCACGACATCGCACGCGCCTCGAAGCGGAACTCTGCGCGGATGGAAAAGTGTCCAGACGCCCCTTCAGGGCCTCCGCTGACGGCGGCAACCGCCGCGCGTATCGAGGACCTGTTCAAGTCGGACGCGATCATGGAAATGGTTTCCGTCGTCGCTGTGTTTCACATGCTCCAGCGGTGGCCCGTGTGCTTCCCGTACCGCGCAGAGGGCGAGTCGCTCGAGGCGCCAGGCTGCCGTAGCGCGAGACAGGGGTGACGAGGCACAGATGCGTGCGGGTCTCGAAGGCGTGGACGAGCGGGTAGACGAAGACGGTGCGGGCGCGCGCGAAGCGCGCCCGCTCGCGGCGCTCCTCGAGCAGGCGGGCGACGCAGCTGGGCTGTAGTGCAATACGCACCTGAAAAGGGGGGTGAAAAGAAAGGAAAATATTTGGATATGAAAAGTAGTCCGGGTTGGGGGACACACGT